CCAACCATTGTCCAACCGTTTTATTTCACACAAAATAATAAAGATTTAGTACGAAAAGCATAATTATTAGTTGAGTAAATTGATTAAATAGTTCATAAAAACAAATTTTGAAAAAAAACTAGAACAAAATTTTTTTGGCCCAGACGGGTCTCGAACCCGGGTCCTTCGACTTATGAGCCTCTTACTTTACCACTGAGCTATCTGTGATTGCTGATATAGAGAGTTTTCAAGTGGTGAAAGAGTAGCCGACAGTTGCAATGGTCGCAATACTTCAAACATTTTTGATACTACACAGTATAATATGATTCTGTTAATCTGTTAAGGCATCATAAGTAGTTTTTTTTTTTTTTTTTTTTTTTTTTTTTGGAGTTAGAGAGGATACTGGTATTTGAATGATTAATTAATTACCGTTAGATTGTTAATGCTATTAATTGCCTGTTATATGATTAATTACTCTTTCCCCTTAAATTGTTGCAAATAAGTTAAAGAATATTAATTTAAAAAATATTTGCATTATTAAAATTATTAAAATTCATTGTTGTAGCGCCGGAACTGTAATATATAAAATATCTGGTTTTACAATACCTTTATCAGTTCCAAAAACTTTTGGAAACTTTTGGAACTGATAAAGGTATTGTAAAACCAGATATTTTATTATAATTATGTTGTGAAAGCTAGACCCAGAGAATGAAAGTCGTGTAAACTCAACTATGGACCATTGTTGGTCCAACAAAAGTATCTTTTGTTGGTCCAACGGAGTGAAAAACGGTTGGACAACGGTTGGCTTGATGTATGATACCCAGCAATGCATATTAATGTATTTCATTAACAATGAACCAATGTTGGTCCACAGTTGTAAATATTGGTTGGCCCAACTACGAGATATACAGTTGGACAACGGTTGGTTGGTTGTGGAAGCTCCAACCAACCATCGACCAACTGTCCCACAGTTGGCCAACGTTGGCCCAACCATCTGTGCTACATGGGAACTAACCAAACGATATATCGAATGAAGCAATCGATTAATCGATATATCGATCGATATTTTCAATCGAATGAGTGTAGGACGTCAAGTAAAGTGCAGCCAAGCAAACTACAAAATTTTAATATTCTCCATAAGAATAACATGGGAATTTTAAATTTACATTTTTTTTTAATTTGCTCCATTACCAACCGTACAAAAACACTTTGATGTACTAAATTGTTTGTTTTTTAAGCTCTTTTAAATAGCCTAGAGAGAAATTGGGAAATTTTGTGTTTTGAGGGTCAAAAATGGGAAAACCCATGTTTTACTTTTACCCCATAAATAAACCCCCCGTAAAACCCCGTTCCCATGGTCCGATCATGCTGGTTCGCGAACTCATTCAAGTTTAGATTAGTTTACACCTTTAAAATAAATTTCATCATTAATTTTTTATATATAAATAATGTACATATATAAAAAATTTAAAGCCGGGTTTTCCTAGACGTGGAAGAGGAGCACGGATAGTGGAAAAGAGATTAACATGGTGTTCCGCTTCGCTTCTAGGAAAACAGTAACATTAAATTGCCTAAGACAAGTGGAGTCCACTCTCCGCGTTCCTCTCTCCGCTTCCGCGCCTATGAAAACCCAAAGTAACGAATGGTGTTTTTGGCACGGCCACCTTTAGATCCAGGCCACGGCCTTCGAAGTGGCAACGTCGCAAGTGGTGTTATAGCCATGGCCGCCTTTAACTGCAGGCCGCGGCCTTTGAAGTGGCAACGTCGCAAGTGGTGTTGTAACCGCTGTTTCGTTTGAAAGCAGCTAATGGTATTTTGTGTATTTACGAGAGATTGGTTACTTGACTATGACAATATTGACTCCGCTTTTAATGTACAGATATAGATTTTTTATTCATATTGTTTCCGTTTTCAATTCGGTATGTTTTATTTTCAATATGTTTTTATGTTCTTAAATTTAAATCAACAAAGTGCGAATTAATGAGCTGATGTTACCTATCTGCCATGTTATCTTCACATAACGGCGGGTGGACGTCTGTCACTTGGGACAACAGCACCACTTGCGACGTTGCCAATTCTACCTGGCCGCGGCCTGGTTGTAACAGCTATTTTGTTTGGAAGCAGCTAATGGTATTTGTGTATTTACGAAAGATTGGTTACTGGACTACAACAATATTGAATCCGCTTAAAAATGTACAGATATAGAATTTTAGTTCATGTTTCGGATTTCAATTCTGTATGTTTTATTTTCAATATTTTAATAAATTTAAATCAATAAAGTGCGAATGGATGTGCTGATGTCTGCCATAGTGCCAGTGCCATGTAATCTTATGGGACGTGTCACTAAGGCCCCCCATAAACGTAAGGCCCCCCATACACGTAACGATCGGCCGGCCGGCCCGGCCTGAACAGTCCACGCCGGCCGGCCAATCGTTACGTGTATGGGGTCGTCTTCCGGCCGCCGGACGACCAAATTGGCCGGACGACGACTGATGGGATTCCCATCAGTCGTCGTCCGGCCAAACCCCGCCTTCAAGCCGATCGTTACGTGTATGGGGTCGCCGGAAGGCCGACAGTACAGTAGTAGCATTATTTTTTTATTTATGTTCATTTTTAAGGTCAGGCACGGTCATTGACATAACCTAACTTTATTTTCTGTTCAGTCTTTGTACTAATCAGCATGTGCTAGCCTTTATAGAAGAATACAGAAAGCATGAATGTCGGCGGAGGGTCAAAACAAAGGCATACCACAACAGGGACTTAAAAGATCCAGCTTATAGCAAGTTAACAAAAACGTTTTTGCCGTACGAAAACTGACTGCACACTTGCCACTAGGCGGAGAAATTTCAGTCCGGCCGGCAGGCGAATCGTTGCGTGTATGGGGACCCTCCTTTCACAGGCCAAACTGTTCAGTTTGGCCTTCCGGCCCTCGCCGGCTGGCCGATCGTTAACCACATTGCGACGTTGCCAATTCTACCAGGCCACGGCCTGTAGTTAAAAGTTGCCGTGTTTTTTGGCCTCTGGGGACATCAAAATGAAAAAGTAAATTATTAGTCCCTGGACCTACGGTAATAGCTACTTTCCTACAGGGAAATTCGCTAAAATTTAAGTTTCCCAGCCTTAAACGATACTGATTCAAGTATTTTCCCAGTTATCAAAACTCAAGAACAATTTTATACGCAAAGAATCTCCGGTTCCTGACCTGGATGATGTCTATATAGTTATTTAATTTCATTTACGGTTACACATTATTGCACTTGCGATTAATTAATATCCGTGATGTTAAGGAAAAACCTTTTTAATCTACTTGGTTTGGATTTTCTTTAAAAACACGATCGGAAATGGTTGCGGAATTTGTAAACAACATAATGTAAACAGATCAGTGACAGCTATAAAAAATAACCTCTTTGATCCAAAACAGCTGTTCGTTTTTCCGTTATTTCATAGATGACGTACTATGTGAAAAACATTAGGGAAACTGGGGAAAAAACGCACAACATTGGGTTTTTGAACGTCCGTCATTTTATTACCATACCAAGTAGTGAAGTCATGTTTTAATGGCTAAAGACACTCGCCAATCCCGTGAATACATTAAAACGATTTGAATCACTCTAGGTTTTCAGAAGGCCGCGTAAAATGCCTTCTGGGCCGTGACGGACAAACAGAAATTGAGATAAGACCTGTTTTGGCTTCTTTAATGTTTATAACGTAAAACAACAAAAAATATATAATTCTGAGAAATGTACGGACAAAACTCAATTTTATTTATATAGAAGATGTATAATTTTCCGATTTAAAAGTTCTAATTCCCACTTGTAAGATAGTATAAGCTAATTTTAAACATATACCACATCAAGATATCTTTATTTTATATCAAGATACTAGTTAAACCATGTCTTTGAAAAGTATTTGAGTTATCAATGGTCAAATGCAATTATTATATCCAATAATTGTTACTTGTATATTATTTGAATAATTATGTTTAGTCAATGTCAAATTAAAATTAATTGACCACCTGTTAGCTGAGTGGCTGGATACATAATAGTGCTCATCTACTACTTAACACCATAAGACTTCTGGTTCAACCCTATTAGCAGGCCTATTATGAGGCTCTCTACAGTGAATGCTCAGATTCCACTCTCCTTATAGCGAGCGAGCAAGCCTCGTTATCATATGGAGCTTATTAAGGGCCGGCGCACACTATCCGACCACGATCACGACCAAACGCCCGACCGATCACCATGCGACTAGAGCACGACCCGACCGAGGCAACGAATGTTTTACCAACTTCAGTGTCAAGATGTATGTTGAAGAAGTAGCTTCTGTATCGTAGGTACGTTAAGCGGAAGAAGAAACTATACTGGGTACATCCAATGTTAACTGAGAATTTTCCTTCTGAGTAGCGTCATCACGTTCACCAAATATCAGCATGATCTCCTCCCAAGCTACCTTCTTCATCCCTCTGTTGGCATAATCTACAGCTTTTAGCTAATCTATAGCTTTTTTTTGTGTTCATAAACAGGGCCTGCGACATTTTACAAAAGAAGTCACTTTACAAACCACACAAGAAACAAGTGCTCACCGTTTGGTTGATCTAGGAATACTGGGGGTTGAGTGGTGTACTGGTCGGGTCGGAGACAAGTCGGGGGTAGTGTGCGTCGTCCCATTACATCACGGGAAGTAAATAAAAGAAACGTCTTATAACACTTAAAACATATACATCACAGAAACGTCATTATCGTCTTGTGCGATTGCGGTGTTCCAATTGCCCATCTTCTCGGTCATGTCAGGTATTGGTATCAGAAGTGACTTTTGAGGATCGATTCTCGACACATTCATTATCATTAAATAGCAATGAATAATCTGCTAACTATCTCTATTCTGATCTCATCTCTTTTTTTGACTACGCAAAACTACAATATCTTACACAATCTTGGAAACCAATGCAGCACATCTACCTATTTCTTGTCTAGCAAACCACACAGCCTTAGGGAATTAAGAATTACTCACAGAAACCAGGTTAATATAACTTTAATTAATATCTGTGATAAAATTTTATATTTCCTGTGACAAATATTGCACAATACAGACAAAACTGGTGGTGAACCAGTTACTTTTGTACATCTTAACCAATAACACTTTATTTACAATAACACTCTTTTATACAATAACATATATATATAGTTTTTATAATATTTACAAGAATACTTTTGAGTCAATAGAGAACTTTAAATGAGATCATCTTAAATGATGTTAACAAATTACAACTATTTTAAAATTTATTTAAGAATAACTTATATCCTTAATCCACCACATTAAAGCCGAAAACAAGTAAAAAAAAAAAAAAAAAAAACATGCAGCAATTCTACACCTTTCCTTGCAGATTATACCTATTTTATGCATCATAAGCGTTTTTAAAGATTTTAAAAGCAAAACTCACAAAATTATACAAGTAGGTAAGATATTGTCTTTATCTTAAATTTAACACATGAAATAAATATGCAGTAATAATTAGTGATGGGCGGATCCAAGAAAATGTCGGTACCAGATCCATATACGTTTTTTCTTCTTTTTTTTAAAGGACGGGTTTTTTAAATAACTCATATGGCTAGGTAATGTGATAGTATATGTCAACGTCAACAACTCATATGGGTAAGGTAATGTCAAAGACTGACTGTGTCCATATAAAAGACTGTCTGTGTCCATATACAAGACTGTCTGTGTGTCATCGAGGTACAGGACTATCTTTGGATACAGACTGTCTTGTATATGGACACAGTTAGTCTTGTACATGGATACAAATGGTTTTGTACATGTACTCTAATAGTCTTGTATATGGACACAGATTGTCTTATATATGGATGCAGTTAGTCTTGTATCTGGTCACAGATTGTCTTAATGGACACAGTTAGTCTTGTACATGGATACAGATAGTCTTGTACATGGACTCTGATAATCTTGTACATGGACACAGATTGTCTTATATATGGACACAGATAGTCACTATTAATTTTATTATAAAATACATCACTGTGACAAAACACCTGTTCTTATGTATGAATTGTACTTTATAAAGGACGTTTTGTGTTAATAGAATAAAAAAAAAATTAATAAGATTTTTTTTTTACTTTTAAAATTAAGTTTTTTTTTATAAAAGTTAAAAAAAATTTATTCAAAAAAAAAACTTGGATCCAATAAAACCGGATCTAGCCCAAGATCCGATTTTTTGTGGATCCGATCGGGCAATGGTTCTACCTCAGATCCGGCGGATCTGGTAGTCCGATATCCCGATCCGACCATCACTAGTAATAATTAAACATATTGGGTGTATTTTGTTATAACTAAACAACTTGCATACAACAAATATGGTAGGTAGGCAAATTATAATTTAACAGCAAAAACCCTAACATACAAGAACTATTATATTTACAGTTTTATTTGACCAAATTCAAGGATTGAAGAGCTCAAGTAGATTGTTGTGTTTTATTTGATTTTAAAAATAATTCTGCAAGGTTGAGTATCACCTAAGTATTTAATATTCAATCCCTTAAACAAAAATGAATCATAAAACTATTGATTTACAATGTGATCTTAGAAAGGTATATACTAATATTTTCCTGAACAAAGCTCAACAACAAACTAATGGTCTTTAAAACCATTTACTTACTGGTATTTTTGCAACACATTAATCACAAAGATCTCAGAAAATTGCAGCAATTGGATCATGGAGCTCTGCGCCCCAGTGAGAACAAAATGGCACGTAATCAGAATATTCTTATTTCAATATTAATTAGTGTATGATGTATTGCTATAAAATATTCTACATATCTAAACAGTCATATTATTATACTAATCCTCAGAAATACACTTCATGTGTGTTACTTGTCCAATAGTTATCATCCAAATATCCTTTCTTTTGTACTGTATTTTGTAATTAGCTAGAATACAAGCTGGCTTATAGGATATTTTATGAATCATTTGCTTACATTTTTTCCTTTTTGTAACTAGCATGGCAACCTATAAGACCAATGTTAAAAATATCAACATGTAAATTAAAATGTATAACAAAAATTAACTTTTAAGAATAGACCCTAGCATAAATATTAATAACATAATATAATACATCCTCACTCAACAATATGATTGACTTAATCCGAAACGGAAAAATAATAAAAAATTTTTTACCCATTACGTGCTGATGCTGTCATTTATCGGGGAAAGTCAAAACTACAAGCACCGTCGTGTGACGACATTAATGCAGTTTATTGTAGACACAAAAAGTGATGACCCAGTACGTGCTTTCACCCATTGGGAAAAGCTGAAACTGCTAACACTGTCGTGTAACGACAGTTGGTTGTACTTTGTCGAAGTGTTCTGTAGTGACCGGGCGAGATAGACAGAGTATTTAAGTTAACATTTTGCCATTTTTCTTGATAAATTATATCATTTTCGTCCCGGGGAAAAATTTGTTGTTTTTATGTTAATAGTTTAGAAAGAAATAAATGCATTTTCCAAATTTGATTCAAATCTCTTCATAAACAAGCAAACTACAGCAGTTTACTTGTTGTAAACTGTTTAGTTGTTGTCGTTCCCATGGTACGATCATGCTGGTTCGCGAACTCATTCAAGTTTATCCCGCCTTAGACCTTCAAACCAAATTTCATCAAAATCGGACAAAAATTACTCAAGTTATCGTGTTTACGGACACATATATATATAAATCTCTACATACATATGTAAAAATTTGAACCAATGGGGTTTTTGGCCTCTGGGGACATCAAAATGGAAAAGTAGGTTAGTCCCGGGCCTAGGTCTTACCACGCCACCTACGGTAATAGCTACTTCCCCTATAGGGAAATTCGCTAAAATATAGATGAATTTGAGTGAATGGTGTTTTTGGCCTTTGGGGACCTCAAAACAGAAAAGTAAATCGGTCCCAGGTCCAGGTCTTACCATGAGACCTATGGGTAATAGCTTATTCCTTTAATTTCCTTATTCCTTTAATTAATTATTCCTTGAATTTCCTAATATGGGAAATTCGCTAAAATGAGATCACAACTTTTGTGAGCCTATGAAACTTGGTCAATGTATTTTCATCAAACATACACTGCAAAACCATATCCCCTTTATTTTACCACCTCTGTAAGCCTATATCCAAAGAAATTATTCTTGCACTTTTTCAAGGTCTTCAAATTAGGTTCAAACTAAACTATTCTTAACCATTCAGACCTTGAAAACCATTGAAGTAGTAAATAGAAAGTGACAAAATTAAAAGAGATTGCTCTTGAGTATTTACAGTACAAATTAAGGGATTGAATATGATCTTAATGTATACATTGAGGTTTACAAGACTCACTTGATGACTTATGCAGTCAGTGCAGACATTTTTTGTCAATGCTTCAAACTTACGTAAAACATAAACATGTTGTTTATTAAGGCCAAACAACATTAAAATATAGCAATAAACCCAGGGAACGAGCTAGTTAAGTGGTGGAGCTTCGGCCGCCAAGGTCCTGGGTTAAAATCGCTTTTATCACCAATGGATTTGATCTAAATGGTAATGTTGCAACCCTCCATGGGCTTTACCAGATTTAATGATTGTGTAAAACAGTTCTGGGCTTGAGTGCTTGCTATAAACTCTGGGTAGTTTTATCATATTAAGCTTCATATCATGACAACTTAATGGGAAAAGAATGTAAGGTAAATCACTCAGCCTCTGACTCAATCTCCAGCTACAGGATGGTTTTAAAACCCTACTTTGATTTAAATGCATAACCAAACCTATGCTAGCCTAGACATTAGACAACCCTCTCAGTGACTGTGTGTCTCATGGCAAGTAGCTTGCAGCTGAGTTGGTTCAGTTCTTAACATTTAGAGGAGGAGTGGGCATTCCTCTTCGAGGAGGCAGAACCTCAAATCCTGGTCCGGGGCTAATTTTATCAGCAGGTTTAGGTGGAGGCAACTGAAAGAGAAAAAAACTTATAAAAACCATTCGACTGCAACTTACGGACAATATTTTTTACTGATATATAACATTAAGGTTTACCAAAAAGAGAGCTGGGGTTAAGCTTAACTTAAATCCTCACTGACACCCGTATCATAGTATAACAATGATTGATACTAAAAGCAATTCACACACAATTTATACACTTTCCTGTAAAGTATAAATTATTATATCAAATGTGTAAAAACAAATCTTTATTCCTGTTTTTTTAAAAGATTTTACTACATTGAGCACTTTTTTGGGATGGGAATCTTGGGATATTAAAGCAATTGCAAAATCTGTAACTAAAGTGTGCTCAATTGACAGTTACTATGACATCAAGAATATGGGATCACATTATATTAACTAACGCCACCTTGATAAATGTTAACAATTTCACTGAGAATCCAAGGTAACAAAGATTAAAGAATCGACATTTTCTCGATACCCTAGAATCAAAGTTTAGGGAAACGGGGATAACCCTATTTTTAAGGATTGACTGACAATATTCACTGATCATTCAAAAATTTTAAGGTTTTTAAAGTTGAGTAGGTATTTTTGCATAACGTTTGAGTAGTTTGTACTTTTTTACTACTCTTTTGTATAGGAACAATACAAAAATTATGGTTTCTTCTAAAAAGCTAATTTATGCTCTAATACACTTTGCCACATTCGTTTTTACTGCACTCATTCTACTTTATTCCACTTGTTATACTTTGCCACACTATGGTTTTGCAACCTAAAAAAAGAATAATAAAACGGTAACAGCTGGCTGAAGTGCTTTTATGTGGAAAATAGGTTGTAAGCTACTCCCTGATAAGCAGTTGCACTGCTATTGATCCCGTTTATAACAAAATGACATACAACATTTACAGTTGCTTAGACTTTTTAACCTATGAATAGTTAGGCCCTGTGATTTAAAAAATGAAAATATTTTTTGTTAAGAAAATAACTAAAAGGTTAATTAAGCTCTCCATTGTGTTCTTGTCACAGCCAAGAGAGCTCAGTTCTAATATTCCTTACTTTATCCACTACTATTCAAGTCGGCTTCCATCTCTATAGGACAATTAGTCTCGTCATAATGTTTAAACGTCGTGAAAGATAATTGACACTCCTTCCACTTATGAATCACATTTTGTGAGCAGATTTCTGTCCTCACAAAATTGTCAAGCATAATAATGTCTATCATCAGTTGATGGTCCTGAATAGAGTAATAAAGTCATTGAATGTAAAAACACTTGTACAAGGGGTGGTGGGAGTCCAAAAATGGTCTTAAACGTTTGCAAGGTGTTTTTCATGGTGCAGGCCGAGACTGTTGTCATTAATTTGTCTCGTTTGATAGGAGCAGTGACCAGAGTTAGTGGAAAGTTGCATTCTGATCACGGTGTGTCTAAATGAGAGAGATTGACGAACTAAAAGGGGACGTCTCAACCAAGACTATCAAGGTCAGCCATGGGAGTCTGCAACAAACTGATCAGTAAGTAGAGTTTCCTCAAATTCAATCACTTAATGGGAACTGATGAACACCCCCCATCCATTGAGCAAGTGTATACGGCCTTCTGCGAACTCCCTAAGCCACTTATTACAATTTTTTACATCATAACACTTTTATGCATCCACATCTGTTTACTGGCAACAGTAATCAAAAGTGGTTGGCTTCCATCATACAGAAACCTAATCACAGAAATAGATTAATACTTGGTGGGAGCATTATTTTTTACAAGGTTTTCAAATTCGTTGACGAGACAAATTGTCCTACCGAGTGGGAACCTGTTAGAGTATTAGTGGATGATGTAAGATACAGGACTTTTGGTCTCAGATTTGAACTAGGCCGTTTAACTGCGACAAGAAGCCTGATCGAGACCTTAATTCACAAACAGCCCTCTTTTAATAGTGACAGGTATAAATTACGAAAACAGCTGACAAGGTAAACCATAGCAAGATTTAAACAAAAAGTTGTCTCGTTGAGCGCACAAAACAAATTTAATGCTATCTATAACATATTACTACGTTTTGGGGTAAATGTAGAAGAAATTTGTTTTATTGCCAATCATGGGCAGTTGCAAATGGTAGATTTTAAAATTGATTAAAAAAAAAACATTCCCATCTAAAGTGCCAGAGACTACCTTGTCAGTGGGTGCTGGTGGTGGAGGATCTGTCCTCTGTGGGGAGAGTAACTCTTGTCTATCCCTCTCTCTCTCCTTCCCCGGTCTGAATGCGTCTAGCAGTGCCTCCACCCTCTCCTCAGTAGGCCCCCACCGCTGGAACCCTGCGTTATTCTGCAGCCACACTACCAGTGTACCATGAGACGATCTGACGTTCAGTTCAGCTCTACAAGGCAAACAAAAGTAAAATATTGAATGTATATCATGTAAAAGTGATAATTTAAAATCTTTTAGATAATAGTGATGTGTCAAACCCTAATCCAAATCTCAAAACTTTGGGAAAGTTTCGGTTTTGAGATTCGATCACCGAGTTTCGAGATTCAAAAGTTTTGAAATTGAAGATTTTGGCAGTTTTTGGTTTTGATATTTGAAATTTCTGGTTTTGACAATCACTATTAGATAATTCATCAACACCAGCATCACAAAACTGTTGCTTTCTTAGAAACCGCTGACCGGTTTATTAATTTGAAACCAAATCTATTTATTAGATGTTCATGATTTCATTAACCAAATAGGCCTAGTTATTTGATTTTAGAATTGATCAATTTCAATTCAACCATCACAGTTGCTTTGCCATTAAGTCTGACAAAATGTATTAGTTTTTAAGGCCTAAATTAAAATTAGTTCTTAAGTTGAACTAACTTTAAATAGATTTAATTTTTAGTTTCAGATGAGACCTCGTTAATCGTATAAGACTCCTGAATCGTAGGTATGAATTTTCTAAATTTTAATTTGTACAAGATTATTATTTCAAAAAATAAATTTATTTTCTTTCAGCTATAGTTAAGGTATGATGTTTTTGTTTTCACCCACAAATTAAAAAAAAAACATAAAATGTATATATTTAACATAGGCTGATAAAATAAGTCTTTCTACACTTTTTAATATACCTACACCTATAGTATAAAAACTTTTATATTATATTTGCAGGTCACATCATATCAAAAAGTTATTTCAATTTAATTGCAAATAATAAAATTACTACCAGAGTACCCGTTCTTCGTACGGGGTTGGCGTATAAGTATAAAACTCTTATTACAGTTATACTCTAGCTTTGCGTTTGCAATGGGAGAGGATAAGGCTTGAGAGAATTTGGTTCTTTTGCTATAGTATTACAGATATAGTATAGTATATATAGTATAGTATATACAGTGTAATATATTACACATCTGACATAGCCATTCTGTTCTACCTCTGCACCTAAACAATATAAAAAAGTAAATTATCACATTCACACAATATCACAAATTATGTATTAAATTAAAAACATAAACATTAACTGTAAATAATCCTACTTTGACAGTTCTCATTGTGTATCACAACTTTATGATGCTGCTTACTTCAAATAAGCTTTTATCATAATTGCAAAAAATATAATAGTGCTGCACCCTGTTGGTAAACATTATAACTTTTTATCGCTATTGAATATCATAGAACCAACTTGTTTGGTCGAATCAGCTGACAACATTTTATTTAATTCCTTTTTAATGTGAATACCCATAAGTTTAACATGGGAAACTCCAGAGCCACTGGGGCAGAGCCTGAAAGGAGTTTTGAGATAGGTAACAATATGCCTATATATCAATCGGGAATGTGAGCTATCATCACCCCAAATTTCAGCCCAATCCGACCAGTATTTTTCGCGTTTAATCACAAACTTACATAATCCAAACTCTTTTTCTCATTTAGGCCTATAATATTAAGTAGAATTTCTCTTCTACCTTCTCTTTGAAGAAGTCCTATATCGGAATGTAAATCTCTGTATGTTTTGTAACTTTCTACGGTGTATTTATTACACCCTGGACTTAATTTTCTCAGGTAAGCTAACTGAACTCTATCCTTTCAGTTTGTATACACTTACACTAAAAGAAAGCTATGCATAGCTGTGCAAGAATGTTTTAAAATTTTGTACAGTATCAAACAATGATTTTCTGTAGTTGATAAGTCAAAACTAGAGGTGTGCGAGCGGCTCTATTTTTGAGTAGAGCCAAGCCTAGCTGTGGGGGAAAGGTAGTTGAAGATAAGAAAAAAAATAAAGAAATGAATCGAAGGACCAGCCTAAATTCACTCACTCACTCCCATGGCCATTTATGCCCAAGGCGGGATTTGGCCGCACCAACAACTGCTTTCCATCTCTCTCGATCTTCTGCCTCTTCCACTTCTGCCCCCACTTCTCTGTCGTCCTTGGAAACACTATCCCACCATCTCTTCTTGGGCCTTCCTAATGGTCGTTTCCCTTCTGGCTTTCCTATACTTGCTTCTTTTAGTAGTGAACCTCGTTCTCTCCGTAGTGCGTGTCCTGCCCACCTTATTCTCCTTGCTTTCACGTGTGCTACTACATCATAATCATTGTACATATTCCTTATCTCCCTATTATGCCTTCTTCTCCATTCTCCATTTTCTTGTATTGGTCCATATATCATTCTTAAAATTTTGTTTTCAAAAACAATCATTTTGTTTTCTTCTTTTTTATTTAAAATCCAAGTTTCAGCTCCACATGTTAATACTGGTCGAATTATACTATGATATATTTTTATTTTTGTTTTATGTGAGAGAATCTTTGAAGTCAACAATTTCTTACAAGAATACATACATTTATTGGCCTGAGCAATCCTATAATTTATTTCCATTTCTTCACTATTGCTGCTTGATATAATTACCCCTAGATATTTAAATTGTTCAATAACTTCAAAAGTATGTCCATCTATACTAATTTCATTTGTCCTCACTTCATTTGGCTGTCTTGTGAAGTGTATATATTTTGTCTTCTCATCATTAATCTTTAGGCCCATTTTTTCTGATTTTTTTATGAACAGTCTGGTTAGCTCCTCTAGGTCATTTCTGTTTTTTGACAGAATTACTACATGAATTCAGTACTAAATTAGGCAAAGAAAAAAATGCTAAATGAAGCAATTCAAAATTGATATTGTTAGGATTTGTCAGCTAAATATTTTACATAAATAAATTATATAAAAAGAAGTAACAAGACAAGTTTTAATTTAATATACAATGTTGTTCAATTTCTGAGAGTAAATTTGTCAAAAAAACCTTATATTGAAACTCACAGAGAATGTCAATCATTATTTTCAAGTTCATTGATGGAACCATCTTGATAGATTCTTAGCTTCTTGAGGTATTTAAGTTCAAGTTCATTCCTGTCTTGATGGTTAAAATATCACTTTAAAAATGTCTTTTCTTTCATGTAGAATTTAACAATGTTCACAATACGGATTGTATAATGTAGTTTAAAGTAAAATGAGTAATATTTGCTTAAATCCCATGAAAAATTGTATGTGGGTTTTAAAATAAAATTTAGAATAAAATGATATGTAGTGACTGTACTGAAGATAGAAATACAATGTTTTTTTTATAATAATTAAAAATATGATGTAAATAAACATTAAATTGAATAACTCTCAGCTGTCAAGAAATTGGGATGGGAAAGTAAAATGGGAAATTGTATTTAGAACAAAGAGGAAATAAAATTATAGGCCTAATATATTGAAATCAATTTTGAATAAAACTATGGAAAAGTGATGAACTAGTACGCAACACTAGCGTACAAGCTCGAGCAATAAGTTTGAAAATCAAGCTTGAGCCGAGCTTTTATGATCGTGATCGTAACGCACATCGCAAAGATCGCGCAATCAAAAAATTCACGCCTCTGCCGCAGTTGCGGATGACGAGGATAATGTTTCACTAACTGCGGGAGATATACAAGATTTTGCTGCAATCCTGGAAGATTATGATGACGTTTCTGTGACCGCGGGATACTACAATAATGTCTACAAACGAACCTCGGCAAGTGTCCAAGACTTTGCCGCGATCGTGGAAAACTATGATGACATTTCTGTTAGGGGTCTGCGGGTCAGACTTTTTTGGTTCGGGTCGGGTCGGGTCGGGCCGATAATTTTGGTCCTCGGGTTTCGGGCCAAAATCGGGTCGGGCCAAAAATTATTAATTACCAGATATTTTTTAATTTTTTAAACTCCTATCTGTGTTTATAATATTACTTAAAAATAACATATGAAGAACGATTGTATTTATGTATATTATTTCATATTCATAACTTATTTACAGCTTAGGAGTTGCCTCAACTGCAAGAAAGAAGAAAATAATTTTTTTTATCAAGCCATTCTTTCCCATTTTCATAACTGTTGAAATATCTAAACAGCTATATTACAACAAGTTTGTAATGGAACTTAATATAAAAGGATCATAAACAAATCAATTAACCTTATCTCAAGTTTAGGGCCTGTGGACTGGCTTAAAGACTGCAAGCAAGAAGAAAATAAAAATTCTATGTTTCCACCATGCAATATGAATCATTCATTCCCTGCCTCCTAACCTCCTAAGTATAAAAACCTCACACTTACAATAGCATTATTAGTTACATCATCATAAATAAAGAATTATTTATTATTGGCATTACTAGGCCTACAGCTTTACATAGGAATTATTTTTATAGGGCCTAAAATAGTAATAGACTAAGCAACATGACAAGTGGAGAACTCATTGAAGAAAAGATTGTGTGTAAACTAATTCACTTTAAAAACTCTAAAACAGTAAATAACACACATACATTGTTTATGGTATAGTTAGTTATAGTAAAGACTGTAAAAATTGCATATATCATGTCATACACAGTTATAGACCTACGGTATTGCAAGAGATTATAATCCTAAAACAACTGATTTTAGCTAATAAATGAAAAGAATTAAAAATCCATAAACTCAAGTCAAACAATATCACAATTATTAGGTACCTGAAAAGGAACTCTTAATATATAGAAAATTATATTAAATCAAGAGAAAAGAAAGTTAAATGCTAATTTGGCAACATAAGCAGACAGCAGAGACATTATAGTGTCCTAATTAGCAACACAACTCAATGTTTTTATGTTTTTATACTGTAAGTCGATGTTTTTGAAACTGTAGGGTCTTTTTCTCGGAAGGAAGGGGGAAGGGTAGTAGAATGTAAACAAAAAACCATGAATCACTCTCACAGCCGGGCCCTGGGACACTCAAGGTTACAGACCCTCCCCCTCCCCTCCCCGCCCCTCTTACACAACCAGAGCCAGGCCCGGGGACACTCAAGGTCATAGACCCTCCCCCTCCCCCATCCCTATTACACCACCCGATTGTTCCAATTGCTGACAAAATGTAAGTAACGAAACAAGGAAGTAGAGACAAAAAGATATATTTTCTTTATTCAAAAATATAAAACTGTTACAGATAATTTCCAAAGAAATTAATTCATGGTAGTTTGTGTCTTGTAAATATTGTATTGGATCTTAGAAATATCTTTTTTGAAACTCAATCTAACTTAAGAAAAAAATAATTTTACTGATAAAAACTTTCATAAAATTATAAAATATTTAGGCCTAACCTCTTTGTAGACTTGCTGATACTTGATTAAAAAAAATTAAATGGTGACCATACAATGCCGATCCAGACGATCAGAAGTGTTGTTTTGTTTTGTTACTGAATGACAAAAAGGACACAGGAAAATAAAAGAACAAGATACAGATCTGTACACTATATCAGATATTTCTTTTGTTTATAATTTATTATGTAAATAAAATACTAAAATATATTTTAAACTAGGTATGGAATAAACAATAAATAATTAAACTGGTACCTCTGGATAAATAGTCTTTCTTTTGACTTCGTTTTCTTTGCACTGTTGCGTCACGGCTTTTGTTTTGTCAGTAGACGACTGGCTCTGGCTGGCCAGTGACAGTACGGCATTTGCTCTGTTGTGTCTTTGTTCTTAAACGTGAGCAAACTTAATCTTTAATTATAATTTTAACGTTTTAATTCCTCTGTAATAATATATATATAAGAGTGTTTCTTTGAAAATTACTTATTATAACTTTGAAAATAATAATTTTTTTTGGCCCGACCCGATCTTGGCCCGAAAAAATCTCTGACCCGACCCGGTCTCTCGGGCCTTCCGCTGGCCCGACCCGACCCGAAAAAATCGGGGACCCGCAGACCCCTAATTTCTGTGAGCTTTTTTAAAAAGCTCAGCTGGATTAAAAATCTTTACTTTCCTTGAAAAAAAGCTCTAGACTAAATCTTTTTTTCATTGGCGGATTATTTGAAGGATTGCTGGAATTAGGTATGAATAAACCTACTAGCTCCAATTTTTGCACTATTAAAAATATTTCATTTCTGGAAGATTTATTTGTTATTGTGTATATGAACTTAAAATGAATAAAAAAAAAGGAAGTCTGTTTTCATAAATTTAAAACATAAATCTAAATATTATATAAAAGGCAAAGCCCTCACTGACTCATGCATCACTAATTCTCCCACTTCCCATTTACCTAGGAGGCTGAAATTCGGTACACCGATTCTTTGGGCATTAAATAGGAAAACTAAGTAGTTTTTATTCCGATCGGGCTTTCGGGCTCCGCCCAGTGGCTCTGGAGTTTCCCATGTTAACCTTATGATTTTTCATATTTAAAAGGAATTAATGAATCTTAACAGCTGTTTCAATTAAACAAGTTGGTTCTGTTCTATGATGTTCAATAGCATTAAAGTTAAAGGATCAACAGGGAGCAGCACTATTATTATTATTTTTTTTTTTTTATGACAACAGCTAATTTGCAACCAAAAGGTGAGTGTAGCGAACGAACTTCAACCTGGATGCGAGTTAGCGTAGCTAAACTGAAGGCAAGTAAGAACAGCAAACGAGCTCCAACCTAAAGGTGAATGAGCGTAGCGAACGAACATCAACCAGGACGTGATTGAGCCATACGAATACTTATGAAGTTAAACGGGGCAAAGCCCGCGGGTACAGCTAGTATAAATATATATTTGCCTGTTAAATATATAACAGGAGTCGGTTAAGTCACATGTACAAATGTATTAGTTTTTTGACAATATGTCCTGTTATTATAATATACATGTAAATAAAATAGTCTGAACTGTAATAACAAATATTAATACTGGAACAACGTACAATAAAGTTTAATATTGATATTTAGTAAACATAAATAAATATTGACCAACAGTTTTAACTGCTCTAATAATCATGTTTACCTTGTTAATTATGTTAATTATTTTTTTTTTACATTTTGACCATCACTAATTTTCCATATAGAAAAATGATTATTGGGCTGTAGCTTCATAATAAAATAAATTAATCAGGAATAAAAATAAAATAATTTATCAATAATCTCACTTGGTGACCAGATGTTGGAAGCCGTGGCGGTACTCGTGTTCAAACGCAGGCACCACAACCTGCTTCCTCTTGAAGTGACTAGCCTCGAGCCTCAGCAGTGCCCCTGGTGGAGGGTCTCTGTACTCAGCCAGTGTTACAACAAACGACAGCGGCTCACTGAAACACAACTGGTTGTAACTTAGAGCACAGGAGCTAACCAGCTTACATGAGTGGGGAAGAGTCCAATCTGGCACAAGAAACGCAATACTTCACACAATACTCAAAAATAAGAATATTTCAAGTCACTGCAGCATTTTTAACCAAAGTTTCTCTCTCAACAACAAGCAACTCTAACAAATCGTGGCTAAAACAAAGTCAAGAGTTTACACACCGGCTCGCCAAATAACACTAATGAAACAAGTAAAATATCTTCTGAACTGCAAAAGGTATCTTAAATAAACGGTATCAGCAATCTGACACATACTTTCTCCCATTAGCTTGTCAACAACCGTTATCACGGGTAAGCGGTGGGAGTAACTATGATATTTTATAGGGAAAATATCAAAAGTTGCAAGAACTTTTGAACAGTAATTTTTACAGCAATGAGGGGTTGCACAATTTTTTAAAGAATTACAAGGACCATAAAATAAAACACTAATTTGATCAAACCCGGTCGTTTTTCTAAAATCAGATTTTTTGTTATTTTATGGGGGGTTTTTTATGGGAAAACAACATATGTTACAATAACTTTAAAAGCCTTAATTTTTACAGATATGGGATTTAAACCATCTGGTTCAGAATTCAAAGGACCATAACATCCTATTTTAATCAAAACCAGCTTATCAGATTTTTTGCTATCTTATGGGTTCTTATGGGAAAATAACACAAGTTACAACAATAATATTAGAACCGTAATATTTACCGAAATGGGAGTTTTACAATTTAGTTCAGAATTTATATGTCTATCGAAATCGTTCAGCATTTTTGAGAAAATTTGATTTTTCTGTTAATTTATTTTTCTGTTGTTTTATGGGGAAATCACCATTAAAAATCCACACACAGTCATCACTTTAAAAACCACTTTTTTGGGTTCAGGGGGGACCTATATCGGATATATCCACTCAAAACTCAAACTCAAAAATGTTGACGAAAACAATATTTTCTCGGTATATACTATGGTATAGGGGGAGAAAGTAAAACTAATACTGGAACAACATACAATACCGTTTCATATTGATATTTCATCCCAAACCAGCAGCAAAACCCGGCTTTGCCTGGGTACAAATACAATGTACAATAATGGTTACTAGTGTACATGTTGTTCGAATTCGAGCAATTGCAAAGTATTACAGAAGTTATTTCAAAACGAATAACAGTCATATTTACAAGAGTTTAAAAGAGTCAACTCAAAGATTACCGGTGTGTAACTCATGGAGATACTCACGATGTACATAACAGTAATTAACATTTCCTGTAAATATTTGATCAAATTTCATAACCTGCTATTGCTTTTTAATGTTTTCTACAAACATTTCCTCACTTATAGCCGCATAAGGTTGTCCATGTTTATCTTCGTTATAATAAACCTATGCATGGTATCACCCTTGTCATCAGCAGTAAGTTTACAAATTTCAGTCATTCTTTAATAAACTAGTGAACCTGTGCGGCTCAATGCCCCGCAAAATAACATATGAATTTAGAAAACTAATGCATCGTGTTATATGTATTGCCTCGACGTCGAAAATTAAATAGGCCCTACAGTAATAATAAAGCCTTAAAAGCGAAGCAGTGAAGCAGTCCAGCCTTTTCTAGGTGTATATGTATTATATTTAGTAAATTAATAAGTGTTCAAGTTCAAGTATGTTATACGGTAGTTATTTTTTAAAGATTTTTAATAACAAATAAATAAAAAAAATCATATCAAACCAATAGGCCTATGTAGCATATTTTGAGGGCCATAAAATGCTGCTTGAAGAAAACACTTTTAAAAATAAACACTAAAAAACAATATTTTTTAACAAAAGCACTTCCATGAATACTACGATTTTAGTCTTAAAGTTACCTTAAGGAATATTACCCTGGTCATAATTTTCCGTAGTGAATATGCGTATCCTATTAAAAGATGTAGCCTTACTTAAAACAATATATAATATAGTGCTGCTCTTTAATTAAAGTGATTGTGGTGCAAATGCCAAAGATAACAGAATTAGCATCTTTCCATTTTAAAAGGTAAGTTTGTTTCAGATTTTTATCATTCAATTAAGTTGTTAAGTTGTTGTTGAATTTTTATTAAGTTGTTAACCGTTGATCACATGAAGCCTTGTGCCATTAATGAGGCAATTTTTGATGTATTAATATTCCTCATCAATTAAACCACTGCCCCCTTTTATTAGTCTAATCTGTGTCTTGCCAATCCACTGACCTCTATATTTAAAAACTCAGTTGGATTTTCTAGATTGGTGTCTCCGCCTTCGTCTGTTTTCGAGGACCCGCTCTTCTTCCCCTTGGCATACTGACAATTAATTACCTAACTTGTCAAGTCCATGTAGTAATTCATTAATACTGTTAGTTTATAAGGAAAATTAGATAAAAGTTGCTTGGATTGGTGCTTTCATAACTGCAAACTAAAAATACACCCACAAGTAAAAAAAGAATCAAGTTATTGGTTAAAAGAAAACCATGTTTGTGTAACAACATTATTCACATGAAGTAGATTATTTGTTTGATTTGTCGATCAGCTGTTTAGTTTCAAATAAATTAAGAATGTCAAAGATTTGTGATTTTAAATACCTACATAAATTATTATATTAAAGTTTTCTAAATCATGGTAACTTTTTCTCAACTACATTTTACCATTCCCAGCATTAAAATAAAGTAGTAAGATCCATTATGATTAAACTTTAAGGTACACAATCCTTGTAAAAATTTCGCCTCTTTTAGGCCATTTTCTGAAAAAACCTAAAATATTGATGAAATCTTTATAAATATGCCTGAATTTCTATAAAATTGTCTACAATACAAAATGTTTCTAAAAACAAGTAGTAAAATTATAAAATATGTAGAATATCAAATAGCCTAAATAAATTTTTATTAGGGGTCTGCGGTGCACCGAAATAGTCGGTACGGTACGGTACAAGCTTAATTACCGTCATCGGTTCGGTACAGCATTTTACACGGTACAAATTCGGTTCGGTACAGCCTATTATAATAATAAATTACTTTCAGTTTACTATCGTAGTCAACGGCAGTTGGTTCAGAGCACATAAAAGTCTTATCAGATGTTTGTTTACGATCTTCATAATTTATTACTAGCGTGATGATGCAATAAAAAACCCATTAGCAGTCCCAAATCCATTAACATTTTATCACTACAATAATTGTTTTATTGAAGTACTTCCAAGAACTGTTGAGTTTTATCACTATTATTTCTTTACGACTTTCCCCAATTCTGTTTTATCATAAAAATAATAGTTTTATGATGACTGTTAACTGTTATCTCTAACTTAATCAGTATTTTCGTGAATATTGAATTTGCTGCAGGCCATTGCCTACTGCCATAAAACTGTTTATGGCTACATATTAAACTTGTAACTAATCTACAATCTTATTTTATAAATTAAAATATTTGTTATGGATATTTTATCTTTCTATTGATGACCATGGATATATACAAACTTTTGTCGTGATTTTAATTTCAACATCAAAATACAATATTGCACAATCGTGATATTTTAGGCCATTGACCTTTATTATGCATCCGGTATTGCTGTTTCAGAAGAGAAGCACGTTGATAAATTATAAATTGATATTCCCGTAGTTAAAAAGAATTATTTTATAAACCTATAAAACAAAATCATAAAATCTTACATAAAGATAACAATAACGGAAATTGTAAAAAGGGTATAAAGATAGTCGTTATTCTTTCTCTTTGTTCTTCTATTTCTTGGGTTTCCCTTCATCACGCATTCAACAAGTTGCCATGGTTACTAATCACCCATGTCGTTATCAGCTTTTGTGACATAGCGCACAGCAGGGGGTAAAACTTGACGAAAATCGGTAAATTTTTACCTATTATTTAATTACCAATTAATGTACGGTACTACTTTATTGGTATTTGGTATTGTATTAATAATCGGTCCAAATGGCAGATTTTTGTCAAATTTTACACCAAATTTATTGAAATTTCAAGGTGAATATTAATAAAACAATTATTACCAAATATTTGTATTCATTTAAAAGATTGATTTGTGGTATTGGGTTCCCCACTGAGTGCAGCCGAGCGGCACTAATGAGGGTCGGACCTTCTTGGGGGTGAACAATAGACGGCTTATCAGACCCTCCCCTCCCCCGTGGTCTGGAGAAAGCTTGTAAACAAACTATTGCACAATCGTGACTTGACATTGAGCTGCTTCAACTATAATTTTGTCAAATGAACTGTGATGTTTCAAAATCAAAAACAATAATTTGGGACCATACTGCTTAACAATAATGGACTGCAATTATTGTTGAACATACAATCCATTTTTAACAAACTAAATTATACGATTCAAATACAATTATAAAAATTATCTTGGTATTTTACTTGGGGTAATGAAGTTATGTAGGCTAGTGTAATTCTCGGTTCATCAAGGTTCTACTGAATTATGTTTGGCAGTGAATAAGTGTAGAATGCAATTTATAAATTCAGGGATACACACCTTTTACACAGTTATAAAGTCTAATTGCCCAACATCAAATCTTACTCTGTGATAATCCAAATTTTAGTTTCAGAAAAAAACTTTGCAAGAATTGTATCCATCTTATAACTTAACTAGTTTTGAAGCTGATTAAAAAAATGGTCTTTGCCATTACTTCATCATAACCTCCAGTTTTTCATTGTCATCTGCTGTGAACAGCTGGCAAAACTACACTGTCTTCTACTGAATGCTTTTATATGTTTTTAAAATTAAAAAAAAAACAACTAGACATTGTGTTGGTTGGAAATAATTTACCAGTTTTGTGAAATTATCTTGTCAATAAATGTTTCAAACATGTTTATTCATAAAAACTCTTATCCTATTTTTAAACTACTTTATCATGGCTATTCAAAGTATCTCAGAGTAAAATAGGTAAAGCCTTTATCCCTCCGAGGGTCACGCGTCGAGTTTAAGACGCACAACACACTTTGTGTAGGGTCACGCGTCGAGTTTAAGACGCAAAAACATCGTTTACGGCGAAGGCTCTATGACTGACTGAATCGGATTGAACTGGATCGAGTTAGGTATCGTTCTTTCCGTAATATTCTAAGCTTTCTCCAGAGGTCTGTCTCTAAGCGCTATTCATTTTAGTTCCGAAAATATTGTAGCAGACAGCTGACGTGCGTGTATTTGTAAACAGCTAGGTTCCCCCGGACCGATGACTGATGTGTTTTATTACGTTTATCATTGTTTTAGTGTTAAAAATCAAAAGTAGTGATATACGTGGTGCATTATAAGAAGATTTAAGTGGTTTTGAAGTGCTGGTTGATGATCCTGAAGAAGTAGGTAGTGATATTGATGTAAATTATCAGCCAGATTCCTAGCTATGGTTAGGCTATGCATTCTTAGCTAAACGCTATGTACTGAAATCCGTTTTTCGCTCATAACTTATTTATTTGATAACTTACCTCGCTATATGATTATATATTTGTAATCCTCATTAAATTTAGAACAAAGTGGCTATTTTAAAATATTTATAGGCCTATAATTTATACAATTTCATTGAGCGCGAACTTATTTTTTTTTTGAAAATTTTCGAAATTATATTTTTTTTTACCTAAAAATTTTTTTTTGAAAAAATGTTCCTTATGTTTTATATATAATATTGAAGCCCATGATTTTCCAAACAAAATGGTATATAGAACATTAGAATTAACATTGTTTTAAGCTTCTCAGATCCATTTTAATAAAACCTTGCAAAGGGGCCAAAAATAGGTGGACATTAAGGCCTAAACTATGGACACTCGGAGGGTTATCTGAACTGTGATTTTTCTTGACACAATCCTCGTAGTAGTAAAAGGTTTTGTTTTAATAATATGTGGTACAGTAATTGTTGTTAGAAAACCATGAATGTAGGATACTATCCATTTTCATAGTAATGTCTATGTATTAAGGTTAAAAAAATGGTTTAGATACAGTTCTGAGAAGAAAACCGCAAAAATACGGGTAGCCGCGTACCGTACCGATTTTGTACCGAGAACCGAGGTACAAAATATTGTACCGTACCGAACCGTACCGACCTTAAATTTTCTGTACCGCAGACCCCTAATTTTTATACAAATTTAACTATAACAGTTTCTTTATCTTTGAAATTTTTAATTTCAGTAATCATTAAGTTTAAATCTTTTTTGTTAGCGAATTTCCCATATAGGGAATAAGCTATTACCGTAGTACTCATGGTAAGACCTGGACGCGGGACCGATTTTTTTGTTTGTTTTGAGGTCCCTAGAGGCCAAAAACACCATCCGTTCAAATTCATATATATATATATATATTTATATATTATTATTTACTTGCATGTTTAGGGCTACTAATTAAAACTAAAGAAATTAAAAATATAATCATATGTAAAAATAATAAATATGTTAAATATATCTTAATAAATTTTGGTATTCATTTTTTTCATTATACTATATTAATGTTTTTCTTTCTTTCCTTAGTTTTTCAATTTTATCGTAGATAGGTTGGTTTGGTTTTGGAATCATAGTGTTAGGCCTTAAGTGTGTCCTTGGGTCCTTTTTATTGTGTAGATAAATATTTAGCTCTTCTCTTACATTAAGTTTCTCACTTTCTTTTTCATATTCTAAAATTGTTAGATTTTTTTCATGTTTTTATAACTGTGGTCTGAGTTCATTATATGGTCGGCGAAGTTCGACTTCATTGATGTTAGATTTTTTTTATTTCAATGCTTGTAGATGTTCTTTGAATCTTGTTTTAAAACTTCGAGATGTTTTCTTCGACAGTTTTCTAGATACCAATATTTTAATACGACCTTCTGTACCGGTTGACATCTTCATAACTCTATCTCTCAATCGCTGCAAAATGTGTGAAGATTTTTTGTGATTGCAGCAACACCTGAAATCGTCTCAACACCCTTGCCCACATATGTGATCATATTGCAAATCGGGACCAAATTTGTGATATTTTCTGCAATCCCGGCAACAGGTGGGTCGTCCGTGATTTGCCTTTTTGATGGTGTATAAGAGGAAAAATTGGTGATATAAGGCAGATTATTAGGCGATTATTAAAATATTATTACTTCCAGGTCCCTTACAAAATTTATATATATTTATCCAAGGATATTTTCTCGGGCATCCAAATTGATTTATGTACAATTCCTTGTTTTACAGGTCGGCTATTCACTCTGTATATATATGCATGGCACTCAACGTATGTTTTATTTATACAAGTAACAAACAAGAGTGGCTTACTTTGAGTCGGATAGCAGCCTCTCAAAATGGCTGACCATGGCCTCCATGAGTTCTTCACTATAAGGAGGGTTGGCTATGAAAGATCCGCTGACTGCCTTCAACTCCAACAGTGGACTATAACATTAAAACACAAATAATTGGTGGCTGTATATAACAGGGGTAACCAACTCCTGTTGTTCGGGCCAAATTTCTCAAATAAAAATGAAATAACTGATTTGATATTTATTTGTTACATCTTGCTTTTGAAAAATTTAACAAAAACAGACATATAAATATATATTATTAAGTTGTAATGTATAGCATTATTGCTTGACAAGTTTAACAATTTTGTAATTAAATAAAAATACTGTAATACAATCATATTTTCCCTGGGGATTGTTAGTTCATGGTCTGTGTGTAAAAATAAAAAGTTATGAATGGTTTGAATCCTAAACAACATTATATATTGCACATACAGCCAAAATTTAAAAAATAACTTGCAAACGAGGTAGCTTTTAATAGCTTTCTTTGGTAAGGCCAAGTGGAATTCAAATATTTAAAATGAGAATTTTAAATTTAAACAATTTTAAGTGGTTGGAATGGCTTTTCTAAACAGAGCCAAATAATGTTCAGGTTGAAAGAAAATATAATGGTTAGTACACACTTTGACAATTATTAAAACAAATTTAGACACTTTATGAGGGCCTATATGAGAAAGTAATGGGCAGTTTTGTGTCCAAGAAGTTTATACTTGTGTGAGTAAATATTTGTAGCCCAACTCCAATCTTTGACTGTAGAACTAGACATTCAATACCAATTTTTAAGTTGTGTGCAATTTTAGTATTAAAATGTAGTAGTCAAACTGAGCTGATGATAGAATGACCAGCTGTCAAGTAACAATTTATGTTAATACGTAAACAAGCTAAACTGAAAGGACAACTTATTGCATATCTTATGCCACTTAAATGTCACAATATCATAAATTAAAAGAGCAAATAAAGTGTTGACATTAGCACACTCAACTATGTTATATTTGGGTAAAAAATCAGTCACAACTGTAATGGTATGTTTTCTTCAACGTTCATCCATCTCTCCAACAAAAAATGCAAAAGGTGAGGCAAGAAGTTGCTAGAAAACTTGCACAGTAAATCACCGATCAACCAAATATAGCGACCAAGTCCGTAATTGGAAAACTTTTTTTGGTTAATCAATGGTCAGAATTTGAAGGCTATTTCAGTTCAAAGAGATGCACAACAGTTTTTTGTACATTAGTTTACTGTAATCCCGTGCGCTTTCCTACTTAGGCGTATACGGAGCGTCCCCTGGGTGGCGGATAGGGGAACGGTCGGTAGATCTGCTTGTCAGTCTTCCCGGCTAGGTCTGAGAGACCCGCTGACCAAAAGTAGGTGCGGTCCTCCATTCATATTGGGGGTTGAGCATAGGGCCAACTACCCTATCTTGTAAAAAAAGCCCAGTTACGAAGCGTCAACAACAAGCCTCGGACAGGAATGGATGCAGCGGAAGAAAACCCAAGCTATGCTTTAAAGATTTGAGATTCGGAACATGGAACATAAGGACCCTAGCAATATCAGGAGCAGCAGATATTTTAAATGATGAGTTGGAAAAGTACAAAATGGACATTGTGGCCCTTCAAGAGGTGCGTTGGCCCCTATGTGGCAAAGTAAACACCAAAAGCTATACAATATATTACAGTGGTAGAGATGATGGAAGACATGAAGCGGGAGTGGGTGTGGCAATAAAGAAGAGTCATTTAGAATCACTTATGAGCTTCGAGGCTGTGAACGAAAGGATGTGTATGATTAGGTTACGAAGTAAATTTAGGAACATATCTGTGATAAACTTCTATGCACCAACAGAGGAGAAGGATGAAGATGATAAAGATATATTTTATGGTCAGTTAGAAGAACTTTCTAGTCAGTTACCAAATCACGACTTTAAACTATTCATGGGTGATGCCAACGCAAAAATTGGGAAAGAACCCTTATGGAGGGAAGTTGCAGGGGAAGAAAGTCTACATGACACAACCAATGGAAATGGAATAAGGTTACTAAGTTTTTGCCATGCACTGAATCTCTACGCGATGAGCACTTTCTTCCCTCATAAAAGTATACACAAGGGAACATGGACCTCACCAAACGGAAATACAGTCAATCAGATTGATCATGTATTAGTGGATAAAAGGAATAAAAGATGGATCTTGGATGTGCGCAGCCTCGGGGGTGCTGAATGTGGATCTGACCATTACTTGGTATTGGTGACAGTAAGACAGAGGCTAACAGTTGAAAGAAGAGAGAAGACAAAAGCTGGAAGAAGACTAGACATTGAAAAAATTAAGAATGATCAGGTGCGCAATAGTTTTGAAGTAGCACTACACAATAGGTTTCAAATCCTAAGCGAGCAAGAAGCGGAAGATGAAGAACTGGATGTTAATGAGGAATGGCGTAGAATTAAACATGGGATTATGGAAACAGCAGAGGAAGTCATAGGATTCAAGAAAAATGACCGTAATGGGAAACCATGGTTTAATAGAATGTGTGAAGAACAAATAGAGAGGAGAAGGATAGCAAAGCGGTGCCTCCTAAATAATGCAGTAGAGGAAAATAGAAACCAATATAGAGAAATGAATAAAGCAGTCACGAGAAGACTTAGAGCAGAAAAGCGCAAATATATTAATAGACAACTAGACAAAGCAGAAAATGACAGATACGGAAATAATGCAAAGGATTTCTATGCAACAATTAGGCACTTTCAGAAGGGATACATACCCAAAGCAACAAGTGTTAAAGATCAAAACGGAAACAAAACAACAGAGAAGGCCAAGGTTCTAAATATTTGGAAAGACTACTTTGAAAACCTGTTAAAAGAAGAAGATAAAGATGAAAATGAGGAAATAGAATATTTTCAAAATTTACAACCTTTTATACCAGAACCATCTCTACAGGAGGTTAAGGAGGCAATACAACTTTTAAAAAATGGGAAAGCTCCTGGGGAAGACAAAATATCAGCAGAAGTTTTAAAACACAGTGGCGAAATAGTACATAAGGCAATTTACAGACTTATTGAAAGAATATGGAGAAAAGAAAAAATACCAGAGGAATGGAGCGAGGCTGTTATTGTACCACTTCACAAAAGAGGAGACAAAGAAGTCTGTAGTAATTATAGGGGAATATCCCTACTTAACACCACATACAAGATATTGTCCAAAATAATTCTGAGGAGAATCAAAATATATGCTGAAGAATGTATAGAAGACCATCAGACAGGCTTTATAAGTGGACGCTCAACAGCAAACCAAATACATGTGTTGCAGCGTTGCAGCAGATAATATCAAAGTATTGGGAGTATGATAAAGAGTGCCACATCCTGTTTATTGACTTTATTAAAGCATACGATACCATAAAGAGACCCAAACTCTGGGAAGCAATGCAAAAGTTTGGGATACCGGACAAGCTGATACGTTTGACAAAGATGTGTGTGGATGGATCCAAAAATAAAGTAAAGGTAGAAAGTGAATACTCTGACACTTCTCAGACTAACACAGGAGTTAGGCAAGGAGATGGATTGTCTCCAATCTTGTTTAAGAAGAATTCAAAATGAGGATATGGAACCATTAAAAGTCGACAACCTGACGTTTGAGAGAGTGTCCGAATTTAAGTACTTAGGAATAACAGTCAACTCCAGTAACAAAACAGAAAATGAAATAGAAAAGAGACTTATCACGGCAACTAAATGCTTTCGAAGCATGTCAAAAATCTTAGGATCCAGATTACTGTCAAAAGCCACAAAAATTAGAATTTATAAAACTATTATCCAACCAGTTCTCTTATATGGATCTGAGGCCTGGACCCTAACCAAACAAAACGAAAGGAGATTAATTGTCTTTGAGAACAAGATATTAAGAAAGATTTTTGGCCCTATAAAAGAAAATGAAATATGGCGGATCAGGAAAAACAGAGAACTACGAGAACTCTACGAAGACCCAGATATTGTAGCTATTGTTAAGAGCCGAAGATTGAGGTGGGCAGGGCACATAGCGAGAAGAGAAGAAAACAGTCTCCTGAAGATAGCTACAAATGGACGACCACGAGGGACCCGACCACTAGGAAGACCCAAACTACGATGGGGAGACCAGGTGCGGAAAGACCTACATCGCATGGGGACATCAATTGACCGAGCAGCAGACAGAAAACACTGGAGGCAACTTGTTGGCGAGGCCAAAAACCAACTTAGGTTTGAATGGCCAAGGAGGTAAGGTAAGGTAAGTTTACTGTAATCTTAAAATTAAAATTTCATACAAAATATGTTTCTTAAAATTAGCCTGATAAACAGTTGTTTTCTTAACTTTATCTCTATCAGGGTATCATTGGTCCTGGGATTTGGTTTAACATGCAGTTGAAAGTGGTTTTACTGTACTGTTCTCAAAAATTTAAAATTCAACGTTAAAAATAAAATAGGCCTAGTTACAACAGTAGCTTATGTATACTGTTTGAGGTGTGTAATTGATTACAATTGTTACAACAATCCCAACATCACTAACCCTCTGGAGCCAAAATAAGAGTCTGTGTCTGCAAACGCAGAGCAGTACTGGCGGAAGTAGCAGTTGAGCGGGGAGGCGAAGCACTCAAATGTCACTCCAAACATGCGGTTTAGACTCTCCAGCACAGTGACCGGTAGAGCTGCCTGCGTCGCCTCACTATGGCCAACAAACGTGCTGTATCTCTTGAGCAGACACCATACCCGCGGCAGAAACAGCTCAAACTTCTTGTCATCAAAACAGCTGAACCTGTACAGCTGTTCCTAGGGAAACACAGGAAAGTGTTATGTTGACTACATCTTTCCAAAATCAAAATATACATTTACTTTTTATGTTTGTAATTTAGTAGTATGATATTGAATTCATTACACACAACATATCAAAATTTAAAATAACGGTTCTAATACTGTAGAACCAATATTACAAGAGAAGAAAACGGCCAAAAATACTGGTAACTGCATACTGTACTGATTTTGTACCAAGAACCGAGGTACAAAATAAGCTATCATACCAACATTAAATTGTTCTGTACCACAGACCTCCAAGTAATTTGTCTTCATTGTTCATTGAGCCCCTAAAATGGGGGCAACAGTTTCAATTTTTAGCTAGCAAACAACTTTAACATGTTCTTGTCTGGAAAAATTCCTTGAAAAATCCGGAATGTTTGGGCTTTTAACCTATTTGGCAAATGACTAGTGACAAAACGCTAAAAGTGGTATCCAAACTAGCCTATGTATTTTACCAGTTTGTGCAAGTGGGTGGTGTTGATGCTGACTGTGTCACCCTGGAACCTCAATAGCGGCTGGTCTCTCTCAGGCAGGTAGTCGATGGTCGGTAGTCTAGGACAGGGTGTGGAGAACTGTACAGGGTAGCACCAGACCTTGCGAACATTGGCCATGTGCTGGGGTGGTGTTGGTTCTATAATCAACAGACATCTTTAGAACAAGTATTGTGGTGTTGCAGTGGTGTCTAAGTATCGGTAACAGGAATGTGCAAAATTAATTAGGCACAATGAATGTGCTTTATCCTCATTGTTACAGGGTGTCCAGAGAACTGACTTTTTAAAATTCCCGTATTTTCGTGTCGGTACTTCAAGAACTCCTGATATCTCCCGACTGCTTAATTTAATGCTTACTGTATAAATTGTATAAGGAAATAATAAGAGTTTCTAAAAATAATTTTTTAAATAATAATCCAGGTAATGGTGTAAAGCACAATTACAATCACCTTATTGATATTCACCATTAGATTAGCAACAAACCTATGATGGATATTAACTAATAGGTAGTGATGATTTTGGAATCCATAATCCAATTGGGGTATTATCATGCCGGTGCCGGCGACGCTCAAGCACATAACTTTACATGCTGACCTTTACGTTGCTGCTCAAAACGCAAAACGCTGCTACTCTATCTGTCAATTAATTATTTTGTTATCAATTAGGCAGGCTTTTACCATGTATAGATAGTTTTTTTTTTGTTTTTTCGCTTGCTAATGATTTTTTACAAAGATTGCAGGAGAAGATAACAATGTTTATGTTACTGTGCAGGGTATTCAGTATTTTGCCGTGACCATGGGTGACAACGAGGCAAGCACACCCCTAGTAATGATAAAACGTAATAGGCTATCTTCCTTTACTTACAATATGGTTTTTATTTCAAGTGTTTGAAAGAATTTATAACTTTTAAAGTTTTTAACTTATGATATCGATGGAATCAGAACCAATTTCAAAGAACCGGAATCACATATTTCTGGAATCAACCCATCACTAGTTTTAAAAAAACAGTCTTTTCTGACATTAGGGCATAGCATATGATCATTATTATCAATTTGAAATGGGGGCACCACCTAGGTGTGTACCGTATTTAACCCAAATATGAGTGAAGGATGAGTGTAGAATGGAGTGAGATGATCTGTATAGCTTGGTTACTGGTTTACTGGCTCTTGACGGCTGAAGAGGTCCTGGTCCTATAGCAGCCCCAGACCAGTGGGGCTTCAGCTCCCTGGACTGATATCACGATAATTTTAAACTAAGACCAAAAATTTCATTACACAGGACCATTTATTAAAAGTCCAGTGATCAAGGACAGTTGGGTCCACTTCATAAGCTATGTCAACTTATGTATGCTGGTAGTAAAGTCGGATATAAATCAAAACTAAGCTACTTATACAACTCCTAATTAAATCTGTAGACCTATAAGAAGAACACATGAACAAGTAGTGTTACCTGGTATACCATTATCCTTTAACAGTTCATAATGTTTTTCCCGAACCTTCTTGGCGTATTCACAAGACAGGAGGTAAATTTTCAGACAGATTCCTTCCACTGAATCTTTCACCGTTTCTGTCAAGTGTGGCTGACACTGTCTCTGTAAGAAAAAAAAAAACTTGAATTTTGTTCAATTATTAACTTGGTAGTTGACATATAGCCTACAATGAATTTTCCAAAACTTAGCTGCCTAAGCCTTAAAATTGCCATAGAGTTGGGGAATAGCAACTTGGGGCCGGGGTGATGGAGACCTGTTGTGCTCAGTGTCATTGAGCATCAGGCAGGTGCTGCTGCACTACTCTCCAGTTCTGGTATGAGTGCAGCGGGGCTGTAGAGGGTATTGATGGGTGTGGCCATCAAACTGCTACTTGTGTGATTAGGAGCAGGAAATATGTCTAGGAATACAGCAGAGGAAACTCTCAAGACCAACTCATGGGTTGGAAGATAAGAGATTGTTCTGGCAAACTCTCCCAACGACAGGTTCACTGAATCACAATTCTGCCTATTATAGGAGAAGCTGTTTGAGATGGCGATTTTGGCCACCATTACTCAGCAAAACCTAAAACCCTATAAAAAGAACAAAGAGAAAGAATAATGAAGTTTTATGTTGTTATCTTTATAACCATTTTAGGAGTGTTTTTATTCAATAAGAATAATGTAGATAAAAACATTTATTAGGCCCTAACTAATAAAAAAAGTACTTGTAAATATAAAATAAAGGTATAGCAAAGCCATAAATACATAGATTATTCTTTCTCTTTGTTTTTCTATTCTTTCTTGGGTTTCTCTTCATCCACACATTCAACAAGTTGCCATGGTTACTAATCACCCAACCACAGGCTACTAAGTTGTCATGGTTACTTATTAGTTATTACCCAATCACAAGCATTATGTCGGCTACTATTGTGACATAGCATACAGCAAATAGATGTGTGAGGAGCAGACTGTCAGTGTCAGTGCAAGAGTATAGCTTGACCTTGAAGTTATCGACTGATATTTCTTTGTTATGCTTCCATTTTAATTTGGCAAATGAACTGTGATGTTTCAAAAACAATCATGTGGGAGCCTATTGCATATAAATAATGGTCAGAAATAGTTAAATATACAATGCATTTCAACACATAGGACTAAAGAAACACAATTAATTAATTTTCTTGGTATTTTTATGGAGGTTATGATTGATCCGCCACCCAATTGATCGATTAATCGCCACCAGTTGACCTGGTTAATCGAGGTTCTACTGTATAATTTTGTACGGAATTACTTGTGAGAGGGAAACGGAAAATAAATTAATAATTTTTTAACTGATAAGTCACTAGTGAAGATTTATGGATGGATACATTGGCGCGATTTCTGTTCATCAATAGTAGGTGGAGGAAATTTTACCATGTTTGAGTTTTAGTTTTGATTATCAAAATACTTCTCAATCATAACTAAAAAAACTGCAACTATTCTTTATTTACAGAGGTTCAGTTCAGTGTTAGTATTTTTTTTTTAGTTTTGACTCTTAACTAGGATGAACCAAAATGTAAAGATTGTTCACATAATAGGTGAAGGGGCCTCATATAGCTTTTTATATAATGCTTCTCTTTGTAAGCTTAATTATATTTTATTAACTGTCAAATATTTAGGGGTGTGCGAGTAGTGATTTTTTAGTTCGAGTCGAGTCGAGTCGAGTATTTAGTTATTTTTTCGAGTATCGAGTAATTTCGAGCGAGTAATTACGTAAGTGCTGAATTCATTCAAGCACTTAAAAACAATGTTCAAAACAACTGGTAAGTATATATATAGTTACTAGGTACCTGTTTAGTGTGATTTTACTTAATAAAAGCAATGCATTAGGTCCATTTTCATAAAATAAAGTTGTCCTATACCCCCAATGTTAAGTAATAATTTTGTTTTCTTTATTTTTTTACCTGATTTTTGTATCCAATTCTATTTAGAACAGTACACATTTACGTTAACCTATTACATGACAGGTTTGTGTGAACCTAACCTCACCTACATATTTTCTAATATATATGCATTTTTAATCCTATCCATCCTACCATACCATATCAATAAGATATCTATGGAGAACTATATAGCATTAATAAAAGTACTGTAATGGATTAAATGAAATAAGAATTAAACCAGAAAATACATGTAATAAAACAATGTACACGTATACATTTAATATAAATGTATTGGCCTACATTTATGTTACACACCCTTGAACACAGTTGTTTACAGTGTAAAACAGTCTTTCTTTTCATAATATCAATATCTATTATCTAGCAATCAATAACAGTGATTCATAAGGCCAAATAATACTTACTTACTTACTTACTGCAGTGGCCATAGGTACCCCAAGTGGTACTTGGCCTCGCCTACACATTGCCTCCAGCCTTCTCTGTCCTGCGCCTGGTCTTCATTTCTACCCAGCTTCCTCAAGTCCCGTCGCACCTGGTCCTTCCATCTCAGTTTAGGCCTGCCTGGTGGCCTTCTGCCTTCTGGGTCGTTCCTTAATACACTGCTTAAGGTTGTGCCATGTTCTCTTCTGAGGACATGACCCGCCCACCTAATGCGTCTGCTTTTCACCTCAGCTGTTATATCTGGGTCTTTATATAGCTCTCTTATTTCGAAATTATGTCTAATTCTCCAGAATCCATCTTCTTTAGTTGGGCCATATATTTTCCTAAGAATTTTGTTTTCAAAAGTTACTAAACGTTTTTCTGATTTTTTGCTCATTACCCAACACTCAGATCCATACATTAGTGTCGGTCTAATTATAGTTTTATAAACTCTTACTTTAGTATTGCGGGATAACAGCTTTGAGCTCAAAATTTTGTTACATGCATGGAGGCTTCTGTTTGCAGCATTGAGTCTGTTAGTTATTTCCAGTTCTTCATTATTATCATTTGTTAATAAGACTCCCAGGTAGGTGAAATTGTTCACTTTTTGGAAAACATGGTTTTCTATCTGCAGGACTTCATTGTCCTCTTCTTGGTCATCTCGTCTACCACCATAAAAAGGCCAAATAATAGTGACTTTAATTACAAAATAAGTTCCAGTTATTTAATATCCAGTCAATATTAGGCTTGATTGGAATATTTTGTAGGCTACCCAAAACAACATGATAAATACTGGTTGAGTAAAATTATGAAAATGAATTTGACATTAATGAAAAAAGAAAAAGAGAATATAACTCAATTTGAGTTAATACATTTTATACACACTACAAGTACAAGTCAATATCTAAAAAGTATACATATTGTAGTTCTTCAACACCTAAACCTTAATAGACCCTAATTAATAACATGGGACGAGAACAGAATCAATTAGCTTAACTTTGATTTGAATTGTGGTCTAGATAAATCTTAAGTTAATGCGCTAAAACCAGTAGACCAATTTCTGCAATAAGCCTTAACATTTTTAAATTGAAGAGAAAAATGAACAAAGTTGGTGTATCCTCTCAATGTAAGGTAAGTTGTTCCTAAATAAGACAGTTCATGTATTAGTAAAGAGAAATAAGATATTGTAGCCATATAGGCCTAAACAAACAACAAAGACTTGGAATCAATATTTATAGAGTCAAAACAACTTAATAAAGGCAAATATAATAGGCCTACTTTGAATTACAAAAAAAAAAACTAATTGCACTATTAGGAACAAGAAGTAAGATATTGTAGCCATTTAGGCCTAAGCAAACAACAAAGACTTAGAATCAATAATCATAAAGAGTCAAATAAACTTAATATAGGCAAATATAATGGGCCTACTTTGAATTACAAAAAAAACTAATTGCACTATTAGGAACAAGAGATAAGATATTGTAGCCATTTAGGCCTAAGCAAACAACAAAGACTTAGAATCAATAATCATAAAGAGTCAAATAAACTTAATATAGGCAAATATAATGGGCCTACTTTGAATTACAAAAAAATTCATTGCACTATTAGGAACAAGAAATAAGATATTGTAGCCATTTAGGCCTAAGCAAACAACAAAGACTTAGAATCAATAATCATAAAGAGTCAAATAAACTTAATAATATAGGCAAATATAATGGGCCTACTTTGAATTACAAAAAAAACTAATTGCACTATTAGGAACAAGAAATAAGATATTGTAGCCATTTAGGCCTAAGCAAACAACAAAGACTTAGAATCAATAATCATAAAGAGTCAAATAAACTTAATATAGGCAAATATAATGGGCCTACTTTGAATTACAAAAAAAACTAATTGCACTATTAGGAACAAGAAATAAGATATTGTAGCCATTTAGGCCTAAGCAAACAACAAAGACTTAGAATCAATAATCATAAAGAGTCAAATAAACTTAATATAGGCAAATATAATGGGCCTACTTTGAATTACAAACAAGATAATTGCACTGGAAGTTTAGGTAAATGTAGTTAGCCTCACGTAAAAAACATCTAAGGCTATAAAATAACAAATTTAAGTAAGTTGTGGTAACATTGGTAACTAAGTTAGATGTTACTGTGCAAAAACACTAGTTCACTTATATGTTCTTGTTTCAATCTGCGACGCCGTTCATTTACTACGTTTCCGGCACTGGAAAAAACTCGCTCACTCTCAACCTCAGTCGCTGGTACACCCAAGTACATTTTGGCTATAGGTGCCAAGAAGGAATACATGCAAGCATTCATCTTCCACCACTTGCATGGATCTTCCTTTAAGTCTATTGTGGGAGAAGATAGAAAAGCATCAACTTGATTTGATATGGCTACTGATGTTACTACGCATGTTGGTGTTCCGGACCGGCTTTGGAAGTGATGCCATAAAGAAAAAGTCTGGTCCTGGTCCTGGTCCTGGGTACCTAAAAAAAGATAGGCCTATCAAACTAAAATAACATTTATTAAAGCTAAATGAAATATGTGCACAATAGGTCTCCAAACATAAGTTACTTTTTCAGAAACTTTCTTAATACTGAGTGGAAGTCATTTTAGGGCCGATATTTTATCAGTAAATAATAAATCCTTTAAGTGAAATAACAATAATAATAAATAGCTAAACCTAATTGAAACAAAATTTAATTAGGCCTACATTGTGTATTGTAATTGTAATACAATGTTTTTCGCTTAATGCATTTAAG